CGGAAACCACTCTTCCGCTCACCGTATCTCTTTTGCTCTCCCAGGGCGCCCCGTGGTGGCAGAACGAGCGTAAGTGGCAGAAGGGTTCGAAAGCAAATGAGCGACGAAACGAAACGGGCCTTGCGCGAGGTGACGTAGCGAACGACTTTAAGCGGTGGCTTACGCGGGCCACTGCACTGGACATGAAGGCACTCACGCGCGACTTTACGCAAGCAGCTTACGCGCCAATGTCGGCGCATTCGACCCCCTTCTTGCGTCGCCCAACTGGTAGGGCGGACCCTCTGAGTGGGAGATGTCCGACGACGTCTTGCTGCCTGTTCCCTTTTACCGAGACCGTCGGCCCCGGAGGTCTCGAACTTGCCATCGCTCGGTCGTCCATTCCCCGTGCATCTTTCGGCTCGTGCGGCTATTGCTTCGTCGAAGGATCCCAGATGCTCCCTGCGTCAACACGCAAGAGTGACCCTGGGCAAGAGTGACCTCTGGTGCGCGGACTAAGGGGGCACAAGGTGGCCAAATCCAGGCGCGCAAGCAGCCGCTATCCCATCGCGCTCAGCGATCGGGGGGGGCCCTGGTGAGTCCGCACCGAAGGTCGCTCCGGCGAAGGGTCACTCGGTCTTACGTGTAGTCGATCCTCGATGGTCCTCGCCGAGAAAAATTGCACACGTCCGAACAAATTCAGGACATGCGACGTCCTAACTTTTCCCATACGGGGTCCCTTGGAGGCCCCGACCCTTTCCTGGGGGGCCGTTGTGTGATATGGAGAATGATCGCTGATCGTTTTTTGTTCGAGCGTCGAACAGGCGTAGCACTAGGCCAAGGGCCCTAAATGTTTTGAAACCGATACGGCCGCAGGAGATCAGGTGAGAGCAAGCAACCGCAGCAGCAATCTCTCTGGAGCAAGCGGAAGCGAGGCGGAAGCGGGGATTAGAAGCGAGGGAACCGCTAGGAATCACACGTTGTTCGTCCTGGACCCTTTTTTCTGACGTCCCCGAGGGCTGGACGAGTGGCCCTGGGTAAGAGTGACCTTGGGTGCGCGGCTTCTTTGGGGGGCCGCGGGAGGGGGGGGGGGGGGACAAACACAAGCGCGCAAAACGCCACGGCCGCCTCGCGTTCGGCGCTCGGGGGGGCCCCCGTGGGTCCGCACCACAGGTCACTCCAGCGAGGGGTCACTCTAACGTGTAATCGGTTCTAGGGAACCGAACTCTATACACCGACGCTTTTTCAGGCCCCGCACTGAAACTCGCACAGGAAAGCGGCTCCTGGTGTATACGGGATCCTGGTGTATACATGTTTCGCAAGTTCCCCGGGAAAACGGGGAAGCAAGTATACACCACACCACCCCGACGCCGTCCCCGACCCTCAAAAAATCGTGGGATTGAAAGGCAGCCCGCCACTGGTAATGCATGCGGGCACGAGTTATATCCATATCCACTGCGTCTTAGACGTTCTGGGAACGGGCGCCAACAGGCCGCGGCGCAGTGGATATGTATAACTAAGGATCTGACCTCTACGGGCGAAACTTGTTCTATCCATCATGATCCACGGCGCCTCTGGCATCGAAGGAAGGGAGCCCGAAACTACAAGACGCAGTGGGTATGGATGAAAATCTTGCCCCCGAGTCTGGACCACTCCCCCAGGATCGGCTTCTCATTCTGAATCGATGTTTGCTGGCCCCGAGGCCCGGCAGGGGCCCCCAGAGGCCGAAAACGGCCAAAAACCTCCCGTCGCGGTTTCTTCACAACGCGAGGGGGTCTGGGTACGTGCAGTCGACTGGCCCGAACAACGCTGGAGGTCCAAGACGCAGTGGGTATGGATAAAAGGAATATTTCCCGCAATGTGTATGCTCCAGTTTCCGAGATTTGATCATGAAGAATAAGCAAGACATGCTCAAACATAGCCCCCCCCCCCCCAAAAAAAAAAAAAAAAAAATCGCCACCAGGCTATTTTTGCAACTAGTTCTGAATATTCCTCCTATAGAGGGACATGCCCGACCTAAGATTAGCCCGAAACGCACAAAGAACCTATCCTCTCAAAGTGGGAGGCGGAGGCAAGGAGCGGGGAGGAGATGAAGGAGGAGGAGGAGGAGGAGGAGGAGGAGGAGGAGGAGGGGGAGGGAGGAGGAGGAGGAGGAGGAGGAAGAGGGATGGAGGAGGACAGAGGACATGCGGCCAAAAACCGACCGCACCGACGGCCAAAAACTTCCCGCTGCATTTTTGACCCAACGCGAGGGGGTCTGGGCACGTGCAATCAACTAGACTTAGGTCGGGCGTGTCCTCCTACAGGCGGATTTCTGGCGAAGAATAAAATTTCTTTTTTTAAAAATGCCACCCAAATAATCAAACATAGTGAAAAGTCGTCCCCAGACTATTTCTTTACTAGTTCTGAATAATCCCCAGATAGAGGGACATCCCCAACCTAAGATTAGCGGGGGAGGGAGGGAGGAGGGATGGGGGGGTGAGGGGGGGAGGGAGGGAAGGAGGGAGGGAGCGGGGGAGGGAGCGAGGGACGGGGGGAGGGAGGGGGAGGGACAGGGGGGGAGGGAGGGAGCGAGAGGGAGGGAGGGAGGGGGGGGAGGGACGGAGGGAGGGGGAGGGAGCCAGGGAGGGAGGGGAGGGAGGGAGAGAGGGAGGCAGGGAGGGAGAGGGAGGGACGGCCGGGCGCGCCTCCGGGCGGCGGCCGCGCCCCCCTGCCGCCGCAGCGCCGCGGCGCGGCGCCGGCGGCGCTCCCCGCCATCGCCGCCGCACGGCATCGGCGGCCCCGGGCGCCCGCGGGCCGCCTGCCGCCCTGGGCGCCGGCCTGGGCCGCTGCCTGCAAGGCGTCGGCGTCGGCGTCGTCGGCGTCGGCGTCGGCGGCGTGGGCGTCGTCGTCGGCGTCGTCGGCGTCGTCGTCATCGTCGTCGTCATCGCCCTGTGCGCCGGCAGGCCGGGTGCCGCCCAGGGCGCCGGCCTGGGCAGCTGCCTGCAGTGACGAAAGAGCAACACTGCCGTCGGGAAGTTTTGCTGAACGCATTGAGGCGGCGGCCCCGGCGACACACTACGCCCCCCAAGCGGACAGAGTGTCGCTCCGCCGCGCGGGACGGGAGGCTGGAAAAGCTCGGCACGTGGACGCCTGGGGACCGCGAAGTGGATAGCGCGTCGCGCCGAAGCGCGGTGGGCCAGAACTGGCGGCGCGACACGCTAAGCACAAGACGACCCCCAGGTGCGCTGCGACGTTGGGTGCCGCACGGCGCGCGACCTCGGCCAGCGTCGGGGCACACGCGGCTTCCCGCTTGCACGGCCACCGTTGCACGCGGGTGCGGTACACTTGGGGGGGGGGGTGAACGGCGCGGCGCGGAGGGCGGGCGCTCGCGTCCCCTCTGGCACAGCGGCTAGTGGCCAACGCGTGTGTGCCGCCCCGGGCCCTGGCGGGGAAAGCGCAGCCGAGCGCGCCGGACGCAGCCAGCCTGCATTCTGGCGGAGCGCGCGTGACAACGCGATCACTGACCGGGGGCGCGCCCGCCCGCCCGCGGGGCAAGGCCCGCCTTTGCCACAGCGGCGCGCGCGCGCGCAAAACAGCGCCCCAACGCAGACTGCATACGCGTGGCGCTGCGGCCGCGGAACAAGGGCGACGCGGTAGGGCCGCCGCCCAATGCCGAGCAAGCGCACGCAGAGGCTGCGCGCCGCTGGCCCGAGCGCGGCGCCCGCGCCAACACATTACCGACGCGACATCTAGCACTCGCCGTCGTCGCTGGACGACTCTACAAGGTGCGCCTCGAGCACTGCCTTGCCCTCTCGACCCTTGTAATCCACGTGGTTGAGGAATGCGGGGCTGCGCCAATCACCGCCTGCCAGGATCTCCCGCAGGCGGCCGCCGCGTTCGACTCTATCCTAGTGGCCGCGCCGAGGGTCATGCGTGCCATATTCTGCCGCTAGCGCTACCCCAGAGCAGCCAGAGCATCCCGCAGCGCGGACAGCGCGCGCCGGTAGGAGATGCCGCCGAACAAAGCCTCTCCGGAGCCGCACCTTCCGAGCCAGCCGCGCCAAAGCATGCACGGGGCACGTGTCCGTGCACGCTGTGCACCAGCAGCTGCAGGAGCCCACTGAAGCTGTCTCCCCGTTCTTACGCCGCGGCAGATGGACGCGGGCCTTGCCCCTGCCTCCCGCGACGCGCCCGGCATGCATGCGAGGGGCAATCCCTCGGATGGTAAGCGAAGCACGAGCACGTGCGCGGCTCGGAAAAGGGCCGCGAGCTGATCGCCAGCCGCCGTGCCAGACAAATGTGCGACCAGCCACGCCACTAGGTCACGCTCTATGAAATGGCGCGAGCGAGCAGCCAGCTTTGAGCGCTTGCCCTGCGCACGGCTGCAGGCGAGCATGCATCTGCGGGCACACTCGACAAGAGACACGCGGTCTTGACGTGCCGCAGGTCATTGGATAATCTACCTGTGTGCCCGAAGAGGCGGCTCCACGACGAGATCCCCATCCAGCGTAGGCCCCGCATTCCGAGTGCTGCCTGGGCAAAGCCAACCAAGCACCGCAGCCCCGACAGGCGGGAAGCCAGCGTCCGCGGGCCGCTGCCGAGAATGGCGCTCAGCCGCGCAGCATTGACCCACGCAGTCGGGCACGCGCCCCCGGCGAACGCGGCCTCCAGCCCCGCCGGTTTCCGCGTCGGCCTGAGCCGCGGACCGCTGCTGCCACTCGCCAGTCCCCGCGGCAATGCCAACGCGATGCGCTGGGTCGATCGCGCAAGGCGCCCGCACTTCGCCGCGGGGAGCGAGAGCGCGCCGCCAGCGCCGCTTCTTCCACCGCGGCAGGCGACGATGAGGTCGAGCTCGAAGACGAGCTCGAGGGCGAGCCTGCCCTTTCCCTCGGCGCAGCAGGCGCGAACACGGACGCCGCCGACCACCACCCCCCCGGCCCAGCGGCGCTCCACCGGGCGGGCGCGGGTGGAAAGGCACCGCAGCCCCGCTGTCGGCGCGGGACACATGTGTTCGGCCCGCCGTGGGGCCGTTTTTGGCTCCCCCCGCGAGAACTGAAGTGGGCGGGCGTTGAACGCGAAGCGTCGTGTATAAAGCTACATCCAGAATCGACTACGACTACGAAAGCGCGATATGTAGCGAGAGCGAATGTTCAGATGCGAAATAGAGGCGAAGGCTAAAACGAAGGTTGCAGCTGCACATACAGCTCAGATTCAAGGCGAGGAGAAGCTAAAGCTCGCACTTGGGCTTCAGCCTGTCCTACCTTTGACTGAGCTAAGATGAAGGCATTCATGACGCCAAAACTGCTGTCAAAAAAAATGCAAGACCAAACCTGCAGCAAAAGCCGAATCGAAAGCTGGAACGTGCAATAAGGAGTGCGAAATTGGCAAGCGGAGCAACCACCAGTCTCGTCGTCGTCCGAAAGTTTGTCGCAAGAGACAAAGTACAGATATCTCTGAAAAGCGGATGTGCTCTGGCTCACGCGCGAACTCAGGCAAAACGAACCTACTCGAAAAATGTTGAAGATGCGCCTCATGACTACATGACAGCCTGCTCACACCTTGATCGGCTTCGCGGCAGCGGTCAGCTCGCCCTTTGACTTGGCCTCGGCAGGAAGGCGCATGTAGCCATAGACGAAGCATCCCAGAAGGGAGATCAAACAGCCCAAGAGCGACATCGGCGTGAGGTGCTCGTGGAATATGCCCATGC